TTCTCTTGGGAACGCTAACCGACGTAGTTTCAGCTATGTTGGATTCTAGAGAAGGATGCAGAACATAGAGACCGTTCTCCAGTTCCCCGCATGTGATGAATTTGTTGTTTCTTTTAATAGTAATCGTATTACTAAAGAAAACAGAATATCCATCAGCACACAATTTTGAGACAGAAATCAAATTTCTTCTTAAATTCTGTACATAAAGACAATCTTTAAATACAAGTGATCCTTCTCTAAAAAACAATTCTACACTGCCGATGGCCATAGCTGCAATGCTTGCAGAAGTTCCCAAGAAGAGCRTCACCTCTCCCTCACTCAGTCTTCTGCTTATTCTGAAACCCTACAATGTGTTACATGCATGAGTCGAAGCCCCGGAGTCAATACACCAGGAAGCAGAAGTAACCAACAAATTGGTTTCTATGACACAGAATTCGGGATTACCTTTCTTGGATTCCAGGTAGGCAGGACAGTTCCTTCTCTAGTGGCCGGTCTGATGACAATGGTGACAGGCATCAGATGCCTTGTCCTTTTTCTGTTTCTTGGATTTGTTGCCCTTTTTCTGGGTTCTCTTCTTAGACCTCCTCTTCTTGCCACGCTTCCCTGCTTCCATAAGCATGGCGACGGGCTCATCCTTACGAATCAGTTCCTCAGCTGGTTGCAACATGTTGCTGAGCTCTTGTAAGCTGACGTTCAGCTTATTATAATTCATGACAAACAGATTGTAGGACGGAGGTAAAGAATTTAGAATGGCGTCTACCTTGCTGAGGTGGTCTAGCCCGGACCCTAGGGCTTCCAGCTCGTTTATGTATCCCATCATCCGAAGACAATGGTCATGCACTTGCTATACCTTGGTCATTTGAGCGGTCATGAACTGCTTCAAGACCTTCTGCCGAGTAGAACGATTCTGCTCTTTGTACATAGTTTTCAGATTATCCAATATGTCCTTGGCCAATTCGATCTGATTGAACTGCCTTTGTATTGGATTGTCCAGAGAAGCTATGATATAGTAGCGGGCCAGGGAGTTCTTCTCTTCCCACTCCAGGTAATCTCTTCTGCGGGCCTCAGAAGCCCGATCACCCGGACGCTCTGGGGTGGGGTTTTTGGCAACTTTATCCAGTTTTTCAGAAGTCAGTACCAGCATGAGGTTACGGTACCAGTCAGTGTAGTTTGGGCCCTTAAGTTTGTTGTCGTCCAACAATTTAGCAAATTGTCCGTTTGCCATTTTCTAGTAAAACAACAAA